AACAACGATGCCCTGCACGCCTCCCTGGAGGCCCTAATGCAGGAGTGCGTTAATCCCCTGCTGAGGAGCCTCTTCCCCTCGGGCAGCAGCACTTCCATTCGGGGCAAGCTGAACTTCATCTCCGTGGGCTCCAAATTCAAGACGCAGTTGGGGGAATTGATGGAGAAACTAGAGCAGAATGTGAGTAGAGAACCCATTTCCTGTCGCTGCCCTTCGACTAATGATTGTTGCTTCCCCGCAGGGCACAAACTTTATCCGCTGCATCAAACCCAACAGCAAGATGGTCGATCGCCAGTTCGAGGGCAGCCTGGCTCTGGCCCAGCTGAAATGCTCGGGCACCATATCGGTGCTGGAGCTCATGGAGCATGGCTTCCCATCGCGTGTGCTATTCGCCGATCTGTACAACATGTACAAGTCTGTGCTGCCCCCGGAGCTGGTCTCGCTGCCGGCTCGCACCTTCTGCGAGGCCATGTTCCAGTCCCTCAATCTAAGTGCAAAGGACTTTAAGTTTGGCATCACCAAGGTCTTCTTCCGGCCCGGCAAATTCGTGGAGTTTGATCGCATCATGCGCTCCGATCCAGAGAATATGCTGGCCATTGTGGCCAAGGTAAAGAAATGGCTGATTCGCTCGCGTTGGGTCAAGTCCGCGCTGGGAGCTCTGTGCGTCATCAAGCGTGAGTTATCCTTAGATCTCTCTGAAGTATATTCTCTTGATTGGAATGAATTGTTCTTACTCAGTGCGCAATCGCATCATCTTCCGCAACAAGTGCGTTCTGATGGCCCAGCGCATTGCTCGCGGATTTCTGGCCAGGAAGCAGCATCGACCACGCTACCAAGGCATTGCCAAGATCAACAAGATCCGAACGAACACTCTCAAGACAATCGAAATCGCCAATGGACTGAAGATGGGACGCGACGAAATCGTTGGCGGTGTTAATGATATCTACAAGCAGATCGATGAAGCCATTAAAACTATCAAGGTATGTCCTGAGCCTTATTCTATTCTGCTGTACCCCAACCCTTCTAATCGGGTTCTTTCTTTCAGTGGAATCCCCGCATTACCCAACGCGAAATCGACTCCATGTACACTGTGGTGATGGCCAATATGAATAAGCTGACTGTTGATCTGAATACCAAACTAAAGGAGCAGCAGCAGGCCGATGAGCAGGAACGACTGCGCAAGATTCAAGAGGCCCTGGAGGCCGAACGGGCCGCGAAGGAGGCAGAAGAGAACCGCCAACGCGAAGAAGCCGAAAACAAGCGACTGTTAGTAGAAAATTCACATTAGTAAAACGGTATTTAAATATTCGATCCCACAGAAAAGTCGAGATGGAGACACGCCGCAAGCATGCAGAAGCGCAGCGATTGCGCCAGGAAGAGGAGGATCGTCGCGCTGCTCTGGCACTGCAGGAACAGCTCCAAAAGGAGGCCAAGGACGATGCCAAATATCGCCAGCAGCTTGAACAGGAACGACGCGATCATGAATTGGCCCTGCGCCTCGCCAGCGAATCCAATGGCCAGGTGGAAGACAGTCCCCCTGTTATACGCAAGTATGTTGAGTAGTTTCTGGAAAAACATTGGGGAAACATAACATTCTATAGGAAATGACGAGGGTGAGGTGTAGGCAACGAAATCCTCAATTAATGGGGATTCCAATATAAATATTTGGGTGATAAGATAAGGGTTAAACGAATTATATTTGACTCGGGGGAGACAACAATTGTATATACAGATATCTTGTGACGTGGTTTATAAGAATTTATAATTTAATCTACTGAAATATTCCTGAAAACTCACCAACTTTTTCCCTTTTCCCCCCTCCACACGCAATCTACTCTCCACACCATCCACAAACACACACCAAAACCACCCAAAAAACACATCCGAAAAACTGAAAACACAACAACACAGTGGTATCAATGACGCCTCTCCCATGGGTTCCAACAAATTGATCAGGTATAGCACGCTTTATAATGTTTATACATACATATGTACAATACTCTTGTAAATTTTGTCAATCTCTTCTTGCTTTCACTAATTGGATAAACGAACGACATATTTACTTTACTTTCTATATGCTTTAACTTTCTGTATATTCTTTTTTAAAAACAAAAGTTTTACACAAGTTGTGTCAAACATTGCTTCGCGGTACTTGAATAAGTGAGTTGGTGCTGGTTTTGAAAACATTCTCTCACTAAAACTAAAATTACTAACCCCTACCTAAAGTAAAGAGCTCATGTCCACTAATCCGAATCATCCGTAAAAAATACCTACTACTATAATTCACATCGGCTTTTAGTCTATTCTCTCGCAAGTCTTTTGCCAGTAAATTCCTCCCATTGTAATGCCATCAATGACTCACTTTTTTGCTTGCGCTTTAACTTGCATTTATTTTAAATATCGATATACTAATCCATAACATTACTGTGCAACTATAGATCGGACAATGTTCGGGCACAGCAACAGGCCCTGGGCAAGCAGAAGTACGACTTGTCCAAATGGAAGTACTCGGAGCTGCGCGACGCTATCAACACGTCCTGTGATATTGAGCTGCTGGAGGTAGGGCGGATCGGAATCTACCAATGGACAATTTTTAACTTTTATTTTTTTGTAGGCCTGTCGTCAGGAGTTCCATCGCCGGTTGAAGGTGTATCATGCCTGGAAGGCAAAGAATCGCAAACGCACCACCATGGATGAGAACGAGCGTGCACCACGCAGCGTTATGGAAGCTGGTAAGTTACATGTGTGCCAGAGAAGCCGCCATCTCTATAAACCCACCATCTCGACAGCCTTCAAGCAGCCCCCGATTGTGCAGCCCATCCAACAGATTGTGACGGCCCAACATCGCTACTTCCGCATACCCTTCATGCGAGCCAATGCCCCGGACAACAGTAAGTTTCACCCATAGAACCTACAATCATGATATAATATTGTTTTTTTTTTAAAGCCAAGCGTGGCCTGTGGTACGCCCACTTTGATGGCCAGTGGATCGCCCGTCAGATGGAATTGCATGCGGACAAGCCGCCGATTCTGTTGGTTGCCGGCACAGACGACATGCAAATGTGCGAGCTGAGCCTGGAGGAGACGGGTCTTACTCGAAAGCGTGGCGCCGAGATTCTGGACCATGAATTCAATCGGGAATGGGAGCGCAATGGCGGAAAGGCCTACAAGAATCTGGGTGTTAGGCCAAACGGCCCACTTTCAGGCATGCAGAAACAACAATAATCCAATAACCCCCTTTGGAAAACAAATCAAATGAAAGCCGTTTCAGTGGTTCAGAGGTCGAAATTGTAATTTTACGAACAATTCCTGAAATGACCCTTTGGTAAAGTGACCACGTCCATAAATTTTAGTAAATACAATTTAAAATCGTATGTGTTTATTATTTTATTTTTGTTGTATTCGAAAATTGCATTCAACATTTATTTCACTCGCTCATCCAGCGCCCGGACTGTTTTGTGGGGGCCTTATATAGCTATTTAAATATACAATAAATAAATATATGTATCTCTAATTAAGTGAATCTTACGATGTAAAAGGAAACGGCAAAGTTGTATTTAGTGTCTAACGAAGTACTATATAACTTGTGTATTTAGTTCACTGCGATGTATTTACATAATTGAATATATATATTTTACAGTATTTTAAAACTAAATATTTGGAATAAATGCGCATTTATTTAACCTGTTTCCAAGTTTGCATTTTAGCGGGCACCACTGCGATTCACTGTGAATGGCAAACTTACAATTTTCTATTAAATTTCATTTTTAAAGGTATATAGAAATACAATAAAAGCAAGTGTTTAAAATAAGCCAGTCAAGTAGAAAATTGAGTCATTAATCGGACAAAACTATGTGGGCATAGATAAAGGTCCTTGTCGCTCACATTCAAAAAAGTTCGATTTGGCGCGCCCCACTCGGTATATTTTTCAAGTGAGACCGTATATACTGTAGAAACTGGTTTTCGCCGCGCTCCCATGTGGTGTTTTTTAGTGCTAAATGGTATTTTTGTCATCTATTAATTTAATTTTCAATGTTATATAGAAATCCAATAAATGCAAGTATTTCGAATAGGCCAATCATGTATAGAATTGATTCCTTAATCGTACAAAATTGAGTGGGCATGGCTAAATGTTCCATATAGATAGTATTATTCAACGGAACAAAGATTTGAATCGAATTTGAGTTCGCCGCAGTTCGCCGCACTTCGCTTTAGCAACAATGAGTCTCATTCCATACACAAATGTTGCGCATTCCATACACAAAAGTTGCGGCAACATTTACTTGAAAACCGTATTTTAGTCAAAATAAAATACATTAAGATAATTAAAAGAAGCAATCTTGTAGAAAATGCATTTATCTATGGGATAAAGCTAAGTGGGCAAATCTATATAGCTTGAAATATATTCAATACCCGATTCGCCGCAGTTTCGCTATTGCAACAATGAGTCTCATTCCATACACAAACATGTTGCTAATTCCATGCACACATACCCTGGGGCAAATGGATGTTATAGAATTGTGAATATGTTTGTCTTCCAAGGCTCCGTAGGTATCAGGATCGACATAAATATACACAAGATACTAATAATGTACTTGAATATGTCTAAAGAATATCAATTTGAGAAAAGGTCTTAATAAATTTCGCTTGATCTTCATATAAAATTAGCGAAATAGGGTGTACAAAGGCTATACACGCATCACGTCTTTAAATACCAGCAACATTGCGACTCTTTTTTGGTTGGACTTTTTCGTTTAACCCTGTTTTTACGCAAAATCCAATAAAAGCAAGGATAAAAAACTATCCAATCTTGTAGAAAATTGATTCATTAATCGTATAAAATTATGTGGGCATGGCCAAATGTTCTATATAGCTAGTAATATTCGACGGAATATCAAAAACGAGGAATATGTATAATATTCGTCAGTATATTTACGGTATTTTTTAATGAGCCCGTATTTGAGGGTCGACGGGGCGCACGTGTGTTTTTGTTTACAAAAATGTCTCGCAAGAAATGGACCTCTCTGGACAAGCCGCGACTCTCAGATGCCGTACTGGAGGTTATTCAAAGCTTTGGCTTTCGGGATATGACGCCAGTGCAGACAGCGGCCATTCCCCTGCTGCTGGCCCTCAAAGATGTCTCCGCCGAGGCCGTCACGGGCAGCGGCAAGACGCTGGCATTTCTGGTCCCATTACTGGAGATTCTGCAGAGACGGCACAGGGAGCGACCCTGGGGCCCTAAGGAGATCGGTGCATTGATCATCTCACCCACACGAGAGTTGGCGCGACAGATATCCGAGGTGCTGGCCCAGTTTCTGGCCCACGAGGATCTGGAGCACTTGAACCAGCAATTGATTGTGGGCGGCAACAGTATTGAGGAGGATATTGCGACACTGAGGAAGGAAACACCCTGCATACTGGTGTGCACGCCGGGCCGGCTAGAGGATTTGTTTCAGCGCAAAGGAGATGACCTGAATTTGGCAGCGCGCGTCAAGAGCCTGGAGTTTTTGGTGCTGGACGAGGCGGATCGCTTACTGGACTTGGGATTCAAGACGAGTGTTAACAACATACTTGGCTACCTGCCGAGACAGCGGCGAACGGGCCTCTTCTCGGCCACACAGACCACCGAGGTGACGGACCTGATCCGTGCTGGCCTACGTAATCCCGTCCTGGTCTCGGTCAAGGAGAAGGCTTCCGTGAACACACCAGCGAGACTGCAGAACTTCTATAGAATCGTCGAGCCCGAGCAAAAGTTCGTGGCCCTGCTGCAGTTCCTCTCGTCCCCGGCCACACGCACTGGCAAGGTAATGGTCTTCTTTCCTACCTGTGCCTGCGTGGAGTACTGGGCGGAGGCCTTGCCCCCTCTGCTGCCCAAGCGCAGTGTTCTGGGAATCCACGGCAAGATGAAGAACAAGCGAGCCATCGTGGTGGAAAAGTTTCGCAATGAGCCGGAGTCTGTGCTCCTCTGCACAGACGTGCTGGCCCGCGGCTTGGACGTGCCCGAGATCGAGTGGGTCGTGCAGTGGGACCCGCCCTCGAATGCGTCCAGTTTTGTGCACCGTGTGGGACGCACTGCCCGCCAGGGAAACGATGGCAACGCCCTCGTCTTTCTCCTGCCCAGCGAGGATTCCTATATTCACTTCTTGAAGATCAACCAAAGGGTAGAACTCAATGAACTTCCCAACGACGAGGCTGGCCCCTCGGATCCCCAACTTCCGTCCGTTCTGGAGCAACTGCATCGACTGCAGAGGGCGGACAAGGGAGTCTACGACAAGGGAATGCGTGCCTTTGTCTCCCATGTCCGGGCCTACACCAAGCACGAGTGCAGCGCGATTTTGCGACTGAAAGATCTGGATCTTGGTAAGATGGCCACTGCCTACGGACTGCTTCAACTGCCGCGCATGCCGGAGCTAAAGAACTACAACGGAGATGGCTTCATAGCGCCCAGCTCTGAGGTTGATCTCACCAAACTCACCTACAAGAATGTCCAAAAGGAGCAAGTGCGCCAGCAGAAGCTACAGACCTACGAACAGACAGGCAGCTGGCCAGGCCAAAAGCTGCACAAGAAGCGCACCGAGTCCTGGGACCAGACCAAAAAGGCCAAACTGGATGCCAAATCGAAGAAGGAGCTGCGCAAGGCAAAGAAGCAACGTAAGCGCGAGGCAGAGTCTGCAGAAGGAGCACCGGGGCAACGCAAAAGGAAGCAGCAATTCAGCCAGGAAGACCTGGACGAGCTGGCCAGTGATATACGGCTCTTCAAGAGGCTAAAGAAGAACAAGATCAGCGAAGAGGAATACGACAGGGCGATGGGCATTGAAAAGGACGACTAGTGGGGATCGTTAACTAATAAAATTGGTTAGGAAATATGTATTTACTATATTTAATCTTTATTGGGGGGTAACGAAACATGGATGATGAAACCTACGACTAAATGAGATAAATGATGTCGCGATCACTTCGCTTACGCCGTGTTTCCATCCACCACAATCTGGAGGATGATGCGCCGCTTGGGATCATACGAGAAGCCATTTGAGCGGAACAGATCGGAGTCGTAGAATGGCTTCAAGTTGCTGATATCCAGCTGCTTGGCCCGCTCGATCAGATCACGCTCCATGATCTCCACGTGCGTGGCGCCCGGTCCGTCCTTGCAGCGAATGTAGGCCAGCTGATCGAGCGTCAACTGGCGGAGGATGAAGAACAGCAGCTCGGAGTGATCCTTCTGGAAGGCCAGGTACTTCTGGAATGTGTTGCGCATCTTCTTCATCACACTGAACTTTTGGGCCTCAATGAAGCTCTCCAGCATCATGCGTATGGCCATGCTGACGTCCGCCTCCATCACATTCTCGCGCAGATGCATGCGACAATGGGCCTCGGACATGCGAATAACGCTCTCAATGTGGCGCACAGTAATGGGCAGGGAGCCGGTGGCAAACGATTCCTGTCGCAGTTGCGCGTACATCTTGGCGATCTTATCCTCATCGATGTTCTAGAAAGCAAAGCGGAGGGGAAATCTATTAGAGACAGAGCCAATTTTTGTTGTTTTTAAATAAACGAACCGTAAGCTTGGGCCGAATATTCTCCTTGGCGTAGACGATGTACTGTCGCAGCAGATCCTGGGGTATCTCCTCCACAGACTTCTGTGTGGGCTCCTCCATCTCTGGCTGCTCCTCCTCGCTCGGGTGATGCTTCATATGCGAGTGCACCACAAACTTGGCCAGCTGCTGGTCCTGCATGGGATCGAACTCATCCTTAACCACGCACAGGATGTCGAAACGCGACAAAATGGGTTCCGACAGATTCACGTTCTCGGAGAAGGTCATCGAGGGATCGTAACGACCACCAATGGGATTGGAGGCGGCTATGACCGTGCAGCGTGCCTGCAGTGAGGTCACAATGCCAGCCTTGGAAATGGAGATGGACTGCTGTTCCATGGCCTCGTGAATGGAGGTGCGATCCTGGTCATTCATCTTGTCGAACTCGTCAATCAGGCAAACGCCCTGATCGGCCAGCACCAAGGCGCCCGCCTCGAGGGTCCATTCCCGGGAGACGGGATTGCGGCGCACATAGGCCGTGAGACCCACAGCGCTGGCGCCCTGTCCCGTGGTGAACACAGCACGCGGGGCAACCTTCTCCGTGTACTTCAGGAACTGCGACTTGGCCGTACCCGGATCTCCACAGATCAGGAGATTGATATCTCCACGCACCTTATGCTTCTCCCCGGGATTCTTGGACTCACCTCCGAATAGAGCCAGGGCCAGGGCACGCTTGATGTAGTCGTGGCCATAGATTGATGGCGCCATTGAGGCCACCAGGCGCTCGACAATGCGCGGATCCTTGCTCAGCTTTTGAATGGTGGCTATGTCCTCGTCAGTGAGTGATTGCACCACCTGCTTGGAGTCCTTGACGACCACATGGTTGGCAATGATCACCGTGGCAAACACGGGGAAGCCCTGATCCGTATTGAGCGAACCATCGTAGTTGTTGGTGTAGATGCCAGTGACCTCCAGCTCGTCACCGGGCTTGCACTGATCGCACAGATCCGCCAGCAGTATGACGTCCTTGCTGCGCGGTATGCGACCGGCGGGAATGCGGCCTGGCGACTCCTGCAAGGTGATCTTCTGATAGTTGCGGTACAGCGTCTGCTCCATGTTGATGGAGAAGGGACCGTAGCTCTGGCACTCCGGACACGAGCCCGGCTTGACCTCTGTGTTTTGGGACTGGACAAATGGCCCGAGGACATAGCCGCACTTGACGCAGTCGTACTTGATCACCGACAGCTGGGGCAGGACACCCGTGGTGGCCGTCACCACGCCCAGGGTGCGTACCAGCTGGTTGAGATGCAGCTTGCGGAAGGTGCGCAGCTCTTCGATCAAGGGCAGCTCTGAAATGCGGACATGGATCTCGGTGGTGACACGCTCGTAGGTGGGAAAGATGGACAGGACCATGTCCTTGGCCACCTTATCGAAGATTTCGAGCATCTGGAAGGGGGCCTCGGGCAGGAAGTAGGCCAGCACATGCTCCTTGTTGGCCAGATCTGTGTAGGAGACCACAAACGAGGACTTGTTTTGTTCGCACATGCGTCGGATACGGTCCCGATATGTGTACGCGCCGCGCTCGTCCACAAATGTACGCAGAAACGATTGAAAGCGATTGGCAATCTCCGTGCGCGGCCCCAGCATGCTCACCCACTCCTTGGTGGAATGCCCTTTGGTGTCCTCTAGATTCTCAATGGACTCGATCATCTCCGTGTCTTCAACCTCGCCCACCGCGGCCTTTTCTCCTGCCCTACGCTTGGCCCGGGGTCCCACATCGTCTTCATCATCGGACTGGCCAAAGCCAAGCTCGCGATCGTCGCGGTGAATACCAGCTGCATGGTCGCGCTTCCTCATCTCCGACTCGGCCGCAAAGCGGTCTCCCTGCGACATCTCCGAGAAGTCCTCTTCATCGTCCAGCATGGCCGGATCGTAATGATCCAGTTCTGGCATGGGACGATAGTCGTTCTCCATGTTGTCCCCAAACAACTCCTCGCCATCTTCTTCCTCCTCGTGGCGCACTGTCTGATCCCCGAGAATCTCATCCTCGTTCTCGAATGGCTCAAAGTCGCCCACTGGCGATGTCATCGATGCGCGCAGACCACGGCGCTCTGCGGCATCACTGGGCGTGTTTGGTGGCGGAGAGCTGGGATTATCCATTTCCAATATATATGCGGTCTTCAAATGTCTTAAATATGTTTTGAATCGTTCAGCCGCTGCCGATCGCGATTTGTTTTGTTGTGACGCGTGCGAAAAATGCGCGGGAAAGAGTGCTGCACAACAGAAGAATAAACAGTGTTAATAATTGCAAAAATTTTTAAATTATTTTGAAGATGCTACAGTTTTCTTACTAAATGGATGTTTTTGCGATATTTTCGAATTATTTATACATTTTTGCTATGCCAATATTATAATGTTCCTAATTAAATTATATTATTAATTTGGCGCCAAACATAAAGTGCTCTACAGCCCTGAAACGCAATGGAACTAGTTCAAACTGTCACCAAAAACCTACGAGTTAAGAATCGCTCCCAGCTCTTCCCGCCTCTTGTGGCTTCATTCAGTGTCCAGCCCTCGACGAATGTGCAGATTTTGTTGTGAAATTATTGCCAAATTATTATAAACAATTCAAAATGGGCTTTGCATCTTTGTCCTCGGGAGTTATTGCTGTGAGTACACCTGTCTTCAGTTGTAGACTTCATGTTTCAACGCTATCACTTGATTTGTCTGGCACAGCGCATTATGAATGGCGACGATGTCGTGAAGCCGGTGCTTCAGATCCTGGCCATCAAGAAAATCAACAGCAATGCGGACGCGGAGCGCTATCGCATCTTGATTTCCGATGGGAAATACTTCAATAGCTATGCCATGCTGGCCAGCCAGCTGAACGAGATGCAGCACAAGGGACAGCTGGACGAGTTCACGATTGTGCAGCTGGACAAGTACGTCACCTCGATGGTGGGCAAAGACGGAGCTGGCAAGTAAGTGGAAGTCATCACAACTAATACGAAGTTGAACTTAAACTAAATTAACGTTTCAGACGCGTCCTTATTATATCAGAATTAACAGTTCTCAATGCTGGCGCCGAGGTGAAGGAGAAAATTGGCGAGCCCGTCACATATGAAAATGCCGCCAAACAGGACAAGGTCGCCAAAGCTGCACCTCCTGTGGTTCCCAAAAAGGAAGTGACTCAGAGCAACAACAACAACAATAATAACATTACATTGAATGCCTCGATTGGCGCGGGAATGACCCATCCCATCTCCAGCCTAAGTCCCTACCAGAACAAGTGGGTGATCAAGGCGCGCGTCACCTCCAAAACAGGCATACGCACCTGGAGCAACCCCCGGGGAGAGGGCAAGTTGTTTAGCATGGATTTGATGGATGAATCGGGTGAAATTCGTGCCACAGCCTTTAAGGAGCAATGCGACAAATACTTTGATATGATTCAAGTCGATAGCGTTTACTTCTTCTCCAAGTGCCAGCTGAAGCCGGCCAACAAACAGTTCTCGCAGCTGAACAATGCCTACGAGATGACCTTTACGGGCGAAACTGCCGTCCAGCTCTGCGAAGATGCGGACGATGGTGCCATTCCCGATATTAAATACAATTTGGTACCCATTTCCGAGGTGTCTGGCATGGAGAACAAGGCGGCTGTCGACACAATCGGTATCTGCAAAGAGGTCGGTGAACTGCAGGCCTTCACCTCGCGCACCACCAACAAGGAGTTCAAGAAGCGAGACCTCACCCTGGTGGACATGAGCAATTCGGCCATCAGCCTGACCCTGTGGGGCGATGATGCCGTCAACTTTGATGGCCACGTTCAGCCTGTTATCCTGGTAAAAGGCACACGCATCAATGAGTTTAATGGCGGCAAGAGCTTGAGTCTCGGCGGAGGCTCCATCATGAAGATAAATCCGGACATTCCAGAGGCCCACAAACTGCGCGGATGGTTCGATAATGGTGGCGGTGACAACGTTGCCAACATGGTGTCGGCCCGCACTGGCGGCGGCAGCTTCTCCACTGATTGGATGACCCTTAAGGATGCGCGGGCACGCAACCTTGGCTCCGGCGACAAGCCCGACTACTTCCAGTGCAAGGCAGTGGTGCATATCGTTAAGCAGGAGAATGCCTTCTACCGCGCCTGCCCCCAGGCGGACTGCAACAAAAAGGTTGTCGACGAGGGCAACGATCAGTATCGCTGCGAGCGTTGCAATGCACTGTATCCCAACTTTAAATATCGTCTGCTTGTCAATGTGAGTAACTAGAAGAAGAGTCCCTAAAATTATCCAAATGATGATTTCTGTATCAACAGATGAGCGTAGGTGACTGGACCTCCAATCGTTGGGTCACCTGCTTCAACGAAACCGGCGAGCAGCTGCTCAAACACACCTCCCAGGAGATTGGCGAGGCCCTCGAGAATGATCCAACCAAGGCTGAGGAAATTTTTTCAGCCCTTAACTTCACTTCGCACATCTTCAAGCTGCGCTGCAAGAACGAGGTGTACGGCGACATGACCCGCAACAAGCTCACCGTGCAGTCCGTGGGGCCCCTCAACCACAAGGAGTACAATCGGCATCTGCTCAAGGAGCTGAAGGAGTTGACTGGCATTGGCAGCAGCTCCAACTGAATCTTTCCACTCCTATAAGATACTATTGTTTAAATTATTTAAGATTCGTAGTTTGCATTGAAGATATATGTCTTTCAATTGGCAATTAAGCTGCAGGATGCAGGAGCATCTCCCCCATTTATTAAACCACAGAAAAGTCATAATGAACATTTATAAATTGAAACAAACAGAGTTTTTGTGTTGTAATTGCTGGGTAAATACATACAATAAATAAATAGTAATATGAATAACACTAGAGATTATCGACTTACGGGGCTAGGAAGAGGGAGGACTACAGGGGACTATGTCTAAGGAGGGACTGAACAGGATCTCCTCCTGTAGGAATTGTTGGACAGACTAAACAGAAAACCATTGGCTTAAGCGAGAGAGATAGAGAGATTTGACTATGACGCTCGATCGTTAACTCTTAACCTAGATCTCAGATAGCATTAGGGTGGAGAGACTCTTATTTCTAATTGGACAGCTGCTGCTCCCCCTCCTCGGGCACCACATGCTCGTGGTCTGCCTTCGGAAGCTGCTGCTCCCGCTCCCGCTCAAGCTCTGCCTTTTTGGCCTGCTCCTGTCTGCGGGATACACCCTCCATGGACTCCCGCAATGAGTCTATATCCAGGGCATTCTCGTCCTTGTCGCCCTCCTGCTCCTTGCTCCGCTGGTTGTTGAACTTGGAGAAGTACGTGAGGGACTTCATCAGCTGGTAGCTCTTCGAGATGGGTATGTTCGAGTCGTAGATGCTGGCGCTGGAGCTGCAGTCCACATAGAACCACCAGTTGCACTTGAGGATGGTCTGGTCGAAGAGCGTGTTCTCCGGACAGAGGAAGGACTTGCGCACCAAGCCATCATCGGTGAGGGCGCACACATGAAAGACCTGCAATAAAGTGGTTCGATTCAGAGCCGATTCAGAGATCTTCAGCTGAAAGAAAGCCTCACCATGCAGCCCAGATCGGTGTCTGCATAGAGGCCCGGAAAGTGCTTCTGCTTGGCGCAGGAGAAGCTCGTGGGCGGCAGATCCACCTTTGACTTGAAATTGTCATCGAAGTTCTTGTCGTAGCCCACAGGATAATATTCCTTGGGTGCATTCATGACCTGCAAACACAGAGAGATATCTCAATGGAATATAACTACAAGGATATACTTTTCAATCCCCCACCTTGGACACCTTGTGCTCTGCCATCGACTTATTTGGTCGTGGAGTACTCGTTGTCGTTGTCGTCGTTGTGGTGGTCCTCACGGTGGAGGTGCGCATAAACTCCTCTCGCAGTTTGGCCGCCAACTGTGCCCTGTGCTCCGCCTTGAGCTGCTGCTCCCGCACATATATGGCATGCTTGATGGTTTCCACCGTGACGTTGGCCGCCGCGGCCAGCTCCTCCACAGTCACATCCTTGAGGTCGAATTTGGGCTCCTCGAACTGCAGATAATTGGGATAGCTGGGCGGCGCCTGGCGTTGCTCCTTGGCCGCATTCGCTATGCGGGCAATGGACTCGGGCATGGCCTGGAAGACGGGCACTGCCACGGGCTGGGAGACCACTGGATTGTCCGCATGGAAGGTGCGATTCGAATGCTGATCCGCAAAATGTTCTATTTATCAGAGGAGCACTTAGAGGGGAAGGACTCTACACTCACCGGCTTATCCACGGCAAGGATCAGCTTATTGTTGACACTGACTCGCGGCTCCGTAGAGTCCACGGCCACGCGGCGTTCTGCTGTTGTCGGAGCCGGGTTCAAGGCCTGCTGCTGTTGCTGCTGCTGTTGCTGCTGCTTCTGTGGTATCGGCCGGAAGGCGGGCACGCCCAGCGGCAGCGGACGGGCTTCGGTCATGAGCTGCGCCTGCTGTTGCTGTTGCTGTTGCTGAAGCTGCTGCTGCTGGTGCAGCAGCAATTGCTGTTGCAGTTGCTTCATCTTCTGCTGCTGCTGCTGTTGCTGCTGCTGGGCCTTGGCCGCTTGGAGGGCGCTCTGTTGGAGCTGCTGCAGCTGCAGATTGTAGGGCACGGGTCCGGTGGAGCGTGAACTGATGCGTTTATCTGGTAGCGAGTGCTGTGCGCTTGGATTGGCCTAAGGACGACAGAAGGGATCATCAGCAGGGATTGGAGACCTTCAAGGTTCCATCTATTCCACTCCTCACCTGTTGCTGTGCCCCCGACAGCACTCCCACACTCTCAGGCGGTGCTCCATTCTTGTAGCTGATGGCACGCCGACGCTCGCCCTCCAGGTTCCCCAGCGACTCCGGGAAGCCCAGCTCATCGCCGAGACTGAAGCCTGAAAGAAACCATCAAAGGGTTAGGGCGGTGTCCGTGACGGAGCCAATCCCCCATCAATCACAGCAATCGTGTTGGCGATTTGGGATTGGGGGTTGGGCAATAATGTGTTAATTAATGACCTTTGTTTTTCCCTTCGAGCCGACAAGGGCTTTGTATCTAAATCTTAAATCTACACGGGTTTTATGTACAAAGAGCCTAAGTAGTGGGCTTTGATCCGATCATATAGGGGCGTGCATAGAGGGGGTGATCTATTGGAGATGGGGATCCTACGACTTTAGGGATTTATTCAAAAATACAGTACATCTAGTGGTAGATTTGGGTTTGGAACAGATGGGGATAT